GCAATTAATACATAACGATCAGACTGGGTTTATCTCTCAAAGACAAACTCATGATAATATTAGACGATCTCTGCAGATATTGAGTCATGTTCAACAAGACGGACTGGAAGCTCTTCTAATTAGTTTAGATGCGGAGAAGGCTTTTGATTCCGTAAGTTGGTCCTTTCTGTATAAGGCCCTTGAAAGATTTGGCATTCACGACATCTTTGTTAGGAGCATTCGAACGATATATAATAAACCATCTGCCCGAATTAAAATAAATGGATACCTTTCAGATACCATTACCTTAGGACGTGGATCAAGACAGGGATGCCCAATATCACCACTGCTTTTTGCGCTCTATATACAGTAGAGCCTCTCGCACAATGGATAAGGCAAACTGAAAACATTAAAGGCAACAATATAAATGGAGAAGATCACAAATTGGCTTTATATGCTGATGATATTTTGATTTATTTAAGTATACGCACCGACTCATTTCCTGAATTAATGAATCTTCTAGGAAAATTTGGCAGATATGCAGGATATAAATTAAATATACAAAAAACGCAAATTTTGACTTTGAATTATACACTACCAAAACATATGAGATACATTCCTACTTAACTGACATCAGAATTCACTGAAATATTTGGGTATACATTTAACGAAAGAAATCTCAACGCTAGCAGAGGCAAATCTAGACCCATTGTTAATAAAAATCAAAGACGATATTCATAGATGGAATGCCGTCTCTTTCCTGGGCCTCAGTCATAGAATTGACTCAATAAAGATGAACATTCTCCCACAGTATCTCTATCTGTTTCAAGCTCTCTCAGTAGAAATTCCCTCAAAATATTGGTCTGAATTAGATAAGATCGTTTCTAGGTTTATTTGGCAAGGAAAAAAACCCAGGATTAAATTCAAAACATTACAGCTTTCAAAGGAGGAAGGGGGTATGGCATTACCCCATTTTAGGGATTATTTTTATGCGTCCCAGACTAAATACTTAATTAACATATGTAAACCGAAGTATAAAGCTAGGTGGAAAGATATTGAGCTCACAATAATGAATGATCCCCCAATTCAAGCAGTATTGGCACATAAAAACTTGAGAATATTTATAGATGAGGTGCAAAACACATGGATTAAAGCTCAACTAAGAATCTGGAATGTAATAAAAGAAGAGTATAAATTGGATTGTAAATTACAATGGATTTTAAACCAAATAGAATGGATTATAGATTCAAATCCATCCATCCATCCATCATCTGCCGCTTGTCCGGGGTTCGGGTCGCGGGGGTAGCAGCTTCAACAAAGGCACCCAGACCTCCCTCTCCCCAGCTAACCCCACCAGCTCCTCGGGGGGGACACCGAGGCGTTGCCAGGCCAGTCGAGAGATATAATCCCTCCAGCGAGTCCTGGGCC